TACCCAGCCAACCCCAGAGTTCACAGGGGAAGCAGGAGTCCTAGAAGCCACTCACATTTTTTCATAAAACTACCCTCCCATATCCTACAACATCTGCAGTGCCAGCAGGTAAGACCAGGGGATAAAAGCCAGGGAGGAAACTGAGGCTGACAGTCAGCTTTGAAGCTTTCCAGGGACATCACCCTGTGAAATAAAAAAGATGGAATCGCTTAACACAGTTGCTTGGGGGCCAAAGCAAGTTCCTATGCTGCACAGTCTTAGAAGGGAGGGGAAGAGTATATATCAAACTAACACTTAGAGACAACTTCCTTAGCTGTTTCTGGGACCCCAAGGAATTAACCCCAGGCCAACTCCACTCACAGCTCAATTCCTTGCATTGCTAGAGTTGAAAGAAACAAAAAAAAATTTTTTTTTGAGACAGGGTCTCTTTAATTAGCCTTGGGTGTCCTGGAACTTACTATATAGACCAGGCTGGATTCACTAATATAGACCAGGCTGGCCTTAAACTCACAGAGGTCTGACAGAAAGATGTGAACTACCATGCCCAGGTCAAACAAAATATCTTGAAGTTAACATCACATACAGAAAAACACACTTAGTCGTAGGGAAATGGCTCAGTCAGTAAAATGTTTGCTCACACTGATGAGGACCTGAGGTCAGCTCTCCAGAACCAACGTAAAAGGCTGGACCAGGGCTGGGGAGGTAGAGGCAGCAGAATCCCTGGGGCTTGCTGGCCAGTTGGTCTAGCTAAATCAGCGAGCTCTGAATTCAATGAGAGACTTTTATTTTATTTATTTATTTATTTATTTATTATTATTATTATTATTATTATTTTTTTTTTGGTTTTTCGAGACAGGGTTTCTCTGTGCCCTGGCTGTCCTGGAGCTCACCCTGTAGACCAGGCTGGAACTCAGAAATCCGCCTGCCTCTGCCTCCCAAGTGCTGGGATTAAAGGCGTGCGCCACCACCGCCCGGCGAGACACAATTTTTAAAAGGAAGGTCTGTTAGTGATTGAGGAGGACACCTGGCATCAACCCCTGTCCTCCACACGTATATTCACATCCCCTCGTATGTGTACACACAGGAACATGTACACACATCACACACATACAATGAGGCTGAGAGATAGATTGTTAACATATGTTAAATCCCTGCGTTTGATTCCCAGAATAAAAAAATGAAAAAGAAAAAACATATCCACCTTCCCTCCACTCACAGCTCTTCCCTTCCTGACCCTTTACCTCCCAGGATCCTTTGTGGTGATGCAAAGACCCAACAGGCCTCTACCTTTCTGTACTAAAACAGGCCATGGTATTGTGGAAGGACTCATGACCTTCTGTGTCATCACTGCCACCCAGAAGACTGTGGATGGCTACTCTGGGAAGCTGTGGTGTGATGTCTATGGGGCTGTTCAGAACATCATCCCAGCGTCCACCAGTACTGCCAAGGCTGTGGGCCAGGTTATCTCAGAGCTGAATAGGAAGCTCATTGACATGGCTTTGTATGTTTCTACCCCCAGTGTGTCTGTTGTGGATCTGACATGCCACACGGAGAAAGCTGCCAAGTATGATGAAATCAAGGTGGTAAAGGGGGCTGGAGAGATGGCTCAGCGGTTAAGAGCACTGACTGCTCTTCCAGAGGTCCTGAGTTCAAATCCCAGCAACCACATGGTGGCTCACAACTATCTGTAATGGGATCTGATGCCCTCTTCTGTTGTGTCTGAAGACAGCTACAGTGTACTCATACACACAAAATAAATAAATACATATTAAAAGAAAAAAAAAAAGGTGGTGAAGCAGGCATCCGAGGATCCACTAAAGAGCATCCTGGTCTATACCCAGGTTGTCCTCTAAGCCTTTACCAGAGCCACCCACCCTTCCACATGGATATGGTTACAGCAACAGAGTGGTGGGCCTCGTGGCCTGGGACTACACCCCTAAAAGAACAGAGAGAAAGAGAGAGAGGTCCTTGGATGCTCAGGAGTCCCTGTCTGAACTCAGCCCCACCCCCACCCCCAAAATCCTGAGCATCTCCTCTCAAAGTTTCCATTCCAGACCCACAGAAGAATTGGGGGTGGGGGGGCTTAGGAAGCCCTACTTTCTTGAATACCATCAATAAAGTTTACTGTACCCACAAAATGAATGAATGAATGAATGAATGAATGAATGAAACAGGCCATGGAGGTAGGCAGCCTTTTTCTGGGAAGTCTCATTCTTCCCATCTCCAGACTCCAGGTCTTCCTCTGGTTCCCACTCACATACCCTGCCATCTGCTCAGAGGCCGTATGAGTCTCCCTTGCCTGGTGGAGAGGGCCAGCGCCAGGGGTGGCTGAGCCAGAAGTGATTTCTATCTGTAAGTCCAGGGCTGCTTCCCAGCAAGCTCCATATGGGGGCCTGGATCAGTCTTCCTCAGAACAAAGGGGGCATCCTCATCCCAGCAAGAGGGCTCCTGACTGGAACAATTCATCACTCAAGAGCCCGTTCAAAGTAACAGTGCAAATGTCCTCTGAGCCAGGAAGGAACTTGCCAGCGTTCAGAGGAAAGGAGGCAGCATGGCATAGGAATTAAGCAGGAGGGTACAGAGTTCAGGTTGCCCAGGCTTCAGTCTGGCTCTTCTGCCTCCCAGAATGTCACCACTGAATCCCACCCTCCTCCAGGCCCAGATTTCTCATCTCTAGAAGGGGAATGTTACCACATGTCTCCCCCAGTCATTGTGAAGATTCAATGAAATAAGTCACATAAGGCATTCTGGGTACCCAGCATGCGGCAAGTACTAAAAAAGTGTTGGCTAGCGTTATTACCCAAGTCAAAGCAGCGATTTAAGGAAGAACAGCCTCCTGGAAGTACAGAGATCTAGGACCGAGAACACTGAGAACACTGTTCACTGGCCTCAACTCCTGCTGTTTTTCAAGAGCAGTGTCCTTCCTTCCTTCTTTCCTTCTTTCCTTCCTTCCTTCCTTCCTTCCTTCCTTCCTTCCTTCCTTCCTCCCTCCCTCCCTCCCTCCCTTCCTTCCTCCCTTCCTCCCTTCCTTCCTTTTCTTCCTGCTCCTCAAATCTTTCTTCTTCTTGACATCTATGTATGTGTGTATGTTTTTAATGTATTTATTTTTGTGTACATGCTCAAGTGAGGTGTGCACGCGCGCATGTGTATATGTATGTGTGTATGTGTGTATGTGGGTGTATGTGTGTATGTGTGTGTGTGTATATGTGTGTGTTTATGTGTGTGTGTTTGTGTATGTGTATGTGTGTGTGTTTGTGGGGGGGTATGTGTGTGTGTATGTGTATGTGTGGGTGTATGTGTGTATATGTGTATGTGTATGTATGTGTGTGTGTATGTATGTGTGAGTGTGTACGTGTGTATGTGTGTGTATATATGTGTATGTGTGTGCATATGTGTGTATATGTATGTATGTGTGTGTTTGTATATGTGTGTATGTGTGTGTATGTGTGTGAGTGTGTGTATGTGTGTTTGTGCTATATGTGTATGTATATGTGTGTGTGTTTGTGTATGTGTGTGTGTATGTGTGTGTGTATGTGTGTGTGTTTGTGTATGTGTGTATCTGTGTGTATGTGTGTGAGTGTGTGTGTATGTGTGTTTGTGTTATATGTGTGTGTATATGTATGTGTGTTTGTGTATGTGTGTGTGTTTGTGTATGTGGAGGCCAGAGGTCAACTTCAGGTGTCTTCCTCAGCAACACCGACCACCTTGCTTCTCTCCTTGGCACCTAAGGCTTGGCAAGTCAACTGCGCTGGCTGGACAGTGGGCTGCAGGAAGCCTCCTGTCTCCAGGTCCCCAGCACTAGGACTCAGGCTGCTACTACCACACCTTGCTTTGAATAAGGACTCAGGCCCTCAAGCTTGTGCAGTAAGTACTTCGCCAACTAAGCTGTTTCCCCAGCACCTACTGTATATTTTTGTTGTTTTGCTTTTAAAGAAAAATTTTGACCAATTTGAGACTCCGTTACTGGCATAGTGAAGTCTTATCCTGCTCAGACTGCTTCAAAGGTAATCCATCATTAAAATTTTTATGTCATTAAAATGTCCCTTCAAGCCGGGCGGTGGTGGCGCACGCCTTTAATCCCAGCACTTGGGAGGCAGAGGCAGGTGGATCTCTGAGTTCGAGAGTTCGAGGCCAGCCTGGTCTACAGAGTGAGTTCCAGGACAGCCAGGGCTACACAGAGAAACCCTGTCTTGAAAAAACCAAAAAAAAACAAAACAAAAAAAAAAATGTCCCTTCAAGGCAAGGCAGGCGGATTTCTGAGTTCGAAATCAGCCTGGTCTACAGAGTGAGTTCCAGGACAGCCCGGGCTATACAGAAAAACCCTGTCTTGAAAAATCAAAAAAAAAAAGTCCCTTCAAAAATCTAAGTGCCCCCCGCAGAATAAGGCAAATTTTCTTTCTTTTTTTTCCCTCCTTCCATCCTCCCTCTCTTGCTCAGGCCCTGCTCGCTCTGGCCCAAAGATTTGTTTGTTTGTTTATTTATTTATTATATGTAAGTACACTGTAGCTGTCTTCAGACACCCCATAAGAGGGCATCAGATCTCATTACGGATGGTTGTGAGCCAACAAGTGGTTGCTGGGATTTGAACTCATGATCTCCAGAAGAGCAGTCAGCGTTCTTAACTGCTGAGCCATCTCATCAGCCCAAGGCAAATTTTTTATGTTTAAACACCAGAACCATATTCAATGGACCAGAATGGCCGTGTATGACATACACATGAAAACTTTCATAATCCAAACGAAGACATGGATGAGGCCCTGCCTCCAGCCTGTGAGTCTTTGGCTACATTCTTGTCAGTTTACATTCCAGCCACGAAAAAAGAGCACATGACATCAATGTACCACCCAGAGTCATCACTGTGCTACCCGTCAACTGAGCCGAGCTACAAAGCTTGTTCTTTTGAGTTTTACAAAATGAGCCTCCTCCTGGACCCTCGTGGTGTAGGCTGACCCTGGTCACTTGTCCAGTTTATACAAAGGGAAAAAGAGATGTGTACTTACTTGCAGCCTGGATGCGAGCCTTCCGACTGACCAGCAGCCCAAAGCGGTTCTGAGCCACACATTCATAGTCACCCTCGTCTGAAGGGCTACCTCCTTGCTCCAGCCTGAAGTGGTGGATCAGCAAGGAGCCATTGGCCAGCAGGGTGGTGTGGGTGCCCTCTGGCAGCTCTGCTCCATTCTTCCTCCAGGAGACTTGCACTGGAGGGGTGCCCTCCACTTTGCAGCCTAGCACTACGGGCTGTCCGGGGTTTGCAATATCATCATTTGGCTCCACAGAAAATGCCAGTTCAGCAGAATGGCCCAGACCTGAATTAGGGAAGGGGAAATGGAAGGAAAGGATGTGAGCGTGGAATGTACATACAGCCAGGAAGCATTCCATACACAGAGATGTCAAACTCCATGGTTCTATGTACCCACCGCATGCCTGTGGTTATCTGTCAACTTAATAGGAGTCCCTATTGTACACAGAAACTTCATGCATTACAAATGCCATCCTGGCCGGGCAGTGGTGGCACAGGCCTTTAATCCCAGCACTTGGGAGGCAGAGGCAGGCAGATTTCTGAGTTCGAGGCCAGCCTGGTCTACAGAGTGAGTTCCAGGACAGCCAGGGCTATACAGAGAAACCTTGTCTTGAAAAAGAAACAAAACAAACAAACAAAATGCCATCCTGGGGCTGGTGAGATGGCTCAGCGGTTAAGAGCACTGACTGCTCTTCCAGAGGTCATGAGTTCAAATGCCAGCAACCACTCGGTGGCTCACAACTATCTGTAAAGAGATCTGATGCCCTCATGAGTGAACGAGGGCCCAGAGCGAAGTGGGGCTGGAGCAAGAGGGAGAGGGGAAGGGGGAAGAAAAAAAACCCAAGAAAACAAATGCCATCCTGTGCAGTATTTTACTTAAATCCAACCACTGTAGAAGAATGGACACCATTTATACCACTCTCTCTTTCACGGATAAGAAAACGGAAACCTGGAGATGTTAGGTGACTTGCCCAGGACCTCACAATCGGTCTTTGCAAATCTGAGTCTTGGAGGGTTGGAGAGATGGCTCAGTGGTTAAAACACTGGCTGCTCTTCCAGAGGACTCAGGTTCAATTTCCAGTACATGGGGACACAGCACCCATCTCTATCCAGTCTTGAGGATCTGATGCCCTCTACTGGCCTCCAATGGGAACCAGGCATGGAGATGCATGGACATGTAAGGAAGAAAAACACACAAAAATGAACTAAAATTAAAAAACAAAAAATAAACAAACAAAAAAACCCCAGAGTCTCAAAAGCAAGACTGATCTCAACACAGTGCTGCCACTTTTGTGATCACACTGCACAGGCACTGGAGCCACACAGACTTCCAGGATGTAATCTTAAAAATTCAGTGTAATCCCAGCTTCCCCTCATCAACTATTTAAATCAAGGAACAGCAATGCGGCTTGTGTCGTATGGTTGTTTGACGTGATTAACAAGAGAGCGCTGCAGAAAATTAAAATCTCTAAAGCAATGCAAAGGGCTGAGATGAAGCTCATTTGGTACAGTGTTTGTCTCGCATTGCATAAAATCCTGGTTTCCTTCCTCAGCACTGAAACCCAACATGGTGGCCTGTTATCCTGGCACTGGTGGGGTGGTGGTGTGAAGGACCAAGAGGGAGGCATTTTGGCTTTTCACATACAAGGGAGACAATGATGTCCCCTCACTGTGGAGAGAGAGAAAGAGAGAGAGAGAGAGAGGGAGAGAGAGAGAGAGAGAGAGAGAGAGAGAGAGAGAGAGAGAGAGAGAGAATGAATATGAATGATGCCCTATGTGGTGCACACCTTTAATCCCAGCACACTCAGGAGGCAGAGGCAGGTGAAGCTCTGAGTCCCAAGCCAGCCTGATCTACAGAGGAAATTCCAGGGCAGTCAGTGCTACACAAAGAAACCTTGTCTCCAAAAAAAACCCTAAAAAGTGGCGGGAGATAGAAATAAACCAGGTTTCCATTTGCCGGTAAAACTATCAGAGACTTGGTCCAATGCCTGGTAGGGAGCTCTAGGTATGGACCCAGTATTCAGGGTACAGGCTGTGTGTGGCCCGTCCCCCTTACTCCATGCTCTAGGTGTTCCTTTGTTATAAGGAGAGTTGGGGAATAGTAAACATCAATTTACATTTCCTAAATTTAGCAGAAAGTGTGTGTATACCTAGAATCTTCTCTCGCAGCTAACCTCAGGATAAAAATGAGCGGGAGGCGGGTGTGGGAGGGATGAATGAATCAGGGCCCAGGCAGCAGGATCATATCCCAGAGGTGACAGCGACTCTCTCCAGCAAGCAATTTACCAGTTCAGTTATGCTTTCCCTCCAAGAGAAACAAGCCCTCCTGGTCTAAAGGGGCGGGCACTGAGCCCCCTCCTCACATTTCCAGGGAACTAGTGATCCTGGACTCCGCTCCTCCCTCGCAGACTGAAGCCCCTCCCTGCTGGGTGAGAGCTAGTCGGGGTGGAGGGTCTAGGCATTGCCTCCACTGTAGGATAAGGACAGTTTAAGACATTTGAGGCTCACACTCTTTCAAATCCTTCGCATCCTCCACATATCCTAAGTTTGAGCTGCCTCCTCCCTCAATGCAACCCCCGCTGTAACTGCAGGGTATAAACTTTCTCTCGGGTGCAGATGCGATATTCTGCTTTTGGGGAAGGAAGGAAAGAAAGGAAATAGTCCAAATATGTGTCTGCGAAGGACTTGAGAAAGAGGGGGCCTTAGATCCACACCCTTCTTGGGTGAGATGAGTCTTTTACAGCCTGAGAGGAAGCGACGGGTGGTCGGGCGAACCCAGGGCAAGGACTCCTAGAGAGCTCCCTCGGGGAAGGGCGGGGCCCTAGGCAGCACCGCTGGCAGGCGCTTGCCCTGAGCGACAACACCTCTCGTCCACCTTTCCCAGAGCTTGGCAGGGCCGCCCAACCCGCCCACCGGGAATCTTTCCTTCCTTTTAGTCGAATACCCCAGAATCCAGTCCTAGCTTTAAACCCTGGGGGGATGCCTCCTCAGCCCAGTGCAGGCGAGTCCCGATCCCCAGACCCCGATCTGCCGCTTCTGGCTTCGTTCACCTCGGGCTACTCGGGGTCCCCAGCCCAGCTCCGCGCACCCGGGCTCGCCTTCCTCGGTTGGGACTCGTCCGCTCTTTCTCCTCAGGCTTGTTTTCTTCACTCAGCAATGCCAGCCTGTCTTCCCAACTCCTGCTTTGCCCCGCTCCCAGCTCCTCTGTCCAGAATCCGGGTCCTGCCCTGAACCTATCCCGAGTCCCGGAGGCGCAGAGAACCGAGCCCCGGGCCTCTCCCGGGGTTCTCCCCATGAACCCCCCGCAGTCCTTCAAACTACCGGCAGCCCTGCCGGAGTGGGTTTCCCCGTGCCCGTAACGCGCTGTCCCGCCAGGTCCCTCCAGCACGCGCTCCTAACGCAGGTCCCCACCGTATCCCCGGGTCCGCCCCTCTGGCCTGGGTCCTGAGTCCCGGCTCACCCAGGCTTGGAGCAGGCAGCGGCAACAGCAGCAGCAGCAGTAGCGGCGGCAGCGGCAGCAACGACGGCAGAAGCCGGGGCCGGCGCAGCGCGGGCGGGCGGCGCGGGGACGCGGTGCGCGGCTCAGCCATCGGTCTCTCGGTCCGCTGGGTTCGGCGACGCGCGGCGCTGCTCAAGGGGATGGGGGGGTCTCACGGGCTCACAGCGTCCCGCGGGGCCGGCGCCGGGGCCGGGGCTCGGGCCGGGGCCGAGCCCGGGCGGCGGGAGGCTGGGGCCGCATGCCGGCCTTAGCGGGGGTCGGGTATCACGGAGAGCGCCGCTTGCGCCATCTTGCACCCACCGCGGCGATCTGTCAGCCGCGCCCGGGGTGCGCGCTCCGCACTCCGCCCGCGCCCGCACCGCCCTCCTCCTCTGCCCGCCGCCCCCCTTTCCTCCCCTCCCCCAGCCCCCTCTCTCCGGAGGCCGGGTCTGGGGAACAAAAGAGCCGGCGAGCGCTTTAAGCGGCCGGACATTCCCGGCTGCGCAGCGGACGCGCCCCCTGCGCTTTGAACTGCAGCGGGAGCAGCGGCGCCGACCGGGGCTGCAGTAGGGAGGGTATCCGCTCCTCGTGGTCCGTCCGGACTTGAGGATCTGGGAAAGTGAAGACTGTGAGAGAGGATCCCGGCCGCTGAGAAACACGCAAAGCTGAGTGGTTTGCTTTCCTCCACTTTCTCTGCGGTGCCCTTTTCCACTATGTCCAACTCTCCGTTTTAAAGACAATTCCCTTAAAACTGCTCAAAGTCGTTAGGGATTCGGTATTCTCTAGGGTTTTTTTTTTTTTTTTGTCTTATTCAAGGGATGGGTGTGTAGCTTCAAGACTGAGTAAGTTAGGGCACTCCGGTAAGTGATCTGGGAAGAGCAACCCTACCATGACAATAAGAGCCCCATAGAAACCTGAGACCTCACCCAGTTCTGCCTGCTGTCCAGCCCAGTCATTCTCACTGTATTGGTCTGAAACCTGAAGACAACACTATTTTTCCTCAACTTTGAAGATCTTTAAGAGCAAAGCTCCAAGCTAATGACCTGGTAGCCGGGTAAGCACACTGGAAGTTAGAGTCGCCGGCACCATCTCTTTGCCGTACCTGATTTCTCACATGTGGGAAGACAGCTGTTCAGAAAGACATAGATGTGTTGAGATGTTGAGTCTAGTCTTTTTACTACTGTATGCAGCCACGTGTTGAGTCCAACTTGATGGGTGAGTCCATCAAAATTACAGAGCACCCACTTAGTCCTGGTGGCAGTGTCTGTCTCTGACAGGATTGGGAGGTCGGAGTGTACTAGCTTCTCACCTCTCATAGCCCAGCATGGCCTTGAGGTTTCTCTGTGTAGCCCTAGTTGTCTTGGAACTAGCTCTATAGACCAGGCTAGCCTCAAATTCACAGCGACCCTCTGTGTCTGCCTCCTGAGTGCTGGGATTAAAGGTGAGCACCACCACCACACTGCCTGGCTTTTTGTTTTGGTTGTTGTTGTTTTAGACAGGGTCTCACTATGTAGCCTTGGCTGCCCTAAAACTCTATATGTATGTAGATCAGAATGGCCTGAACCCACAGAGATCCACCTGCCTCTGCTTCCCAAGTGCTGAAATTAAAGCCATGTGCCATTATCCTGGGTTTTTGTAACATTTTTTTTAGTTAAGAGAGTCGCAGTACATTTTCTTTCTTCCTTCCTTCCTTCTCTCTCTCTCTCTCTCTCTCTCTCTCTCTCTCTCTCTCTCTCTGTGTGTGTGTGTGTGTGTGTGTACATGCCATGGAGCAAGTATGGCTGGCTGTCAGAGAATAATTTGCTATGGGTGTCATTTTATCCTTCAGCCATGTAGGTTGCAGGGATGGAACACAGCTGGTGGGTGAATCAGGCTTGGCTGCAGATTCCTTTCCCGGCTGAACCATTCCTTGGCCCCAAGCCTTCTTTACTTACCTGTACCAAAGCATAGTGACAAATATTTGTAATACTCAAATTTGGAAGGTAGAGGCAGGAGGATTAAAGAGTCCAAGGTCACTCACTACTACAAAGTGAATTCAAGGCCACACTGGGCTATGAGAGTTGAGAAACTAGTACGCTCCTACCTCCTAGTCCTGTCAGAGACAGACACTGCCACCAGGACTAAGTGGGTGCTCTGTAATTTTGATGGACTCACCCATCAAGTTGGACCCAACACGTGGCTGCATGCAGTAATCAAAAATAAAAATAAAAAAGACAAGACTCAACATTTATTTTTGCCTCGAAAAACCAAAAATAAATAAGGAAATAAATGAAAAAAAAAAAAACAACAACAACAAGACAGAAAACCTTCAGGCCTCTAGAAATCAGATGTCTGTCCGCAGGCAGATCTGCACTAATATCAGCCTGAGAAGATAGCCTGGGATCCTGTGAGCAGCAAAGAGATTGCAGAGCAGAGACCCCAGTCTGCCATTGCCACAAAAGGATTGATTGAGGAAGGACCAATGAGGCCTCTACAGACAACAGGGAAGGTAGTACTGAAGAAGGGGGCCTCCCTGCAGCCGAAAGTCCTGGAATGCCCTCCTGCAGGCCTTGAATCATCAACCACCCCTTATTGACATGTTCTGGACTCCAGAGAGGTCAAATTGGTGTCCTGAATTGCTGTCATTTTAAATTCATCTTGACAAGTGTTTAATTCTTCTTTATCACAACCCTTGGTCTGAGAGTGATATGCAAATAATGGCTATTCTACTGCATGCAGAACCTGCAGTATCTCTCTGTATGATCTGTCAATTAACTCTGAGCCTTGCCCATCAGTCACTTTGAGGGTGGTCCTGGGCATGACAGCCTCTGCTTGGTTTATGATTCCCTCCAAAGAAAAGGCACTTTCTAGGCTCCTTAAAGATCTCAGCAGAGGGCAGCTGTCAGCTGTGACCCTGAGATGTGTGGAGTACGACTCTGAGCATGGAAAGTTCTGAGAGTGTGTACACACTTGAGGGTACCTGTGAAGAAGAGCATGCAGGGTGAGCCTAAGGGTGCACTGATAACAGGTACATCTCAGCTCAGCTATGAATGTTGCTCAACACATCCATGGACCACAATGCATGTCACAATTTCAGAGGGTTGGCAGGGATCTGATACACTCCTCCAACTTAAGAGGCATGCATGTAGTGTGCATGTGTACATGCAGGCAAACACTCATTACACATGCTAGGTAAGTTTTCAACTGCACAATGACATTTGCAGTCCCTTTTTCTTAAGTTGAAGTTGTTTTTATTTTTAATTTGTGTGTATCTGTGTGTGAGTGTGTGTCTATGAGAATGTGTGCTTATGGGCATGTTTGTTTCCTATATGCTTACTGAGTGGGAAAGAGGTTGCAGGGGTTTTTTTTTGGGGGGGGGTTGTTTGTTTTTTCTTAAAGACAAGCTTTCTCTGTGTACCCCTGGCTGTCCTGGAACTCTCTGTAGTCCAGGCTGGTCTTGCAAACTCAGAGATGTACTTGCCTCTGCCTCCTGAATTCTGGGATTAAAGACAAGCACCAGCATTCATTGGCTGAGGCTTTATTTTTTTTCTTGGACCCATCTTCTTTCTACTCTCAAAATTTACTGTTTCCCATCCTGGCAGGAAATAAACCTCCTGGGCCAGGAAGATTGAGGAAACTCTAGTCAGTTGGTTCCAGAAAGAACGTATCTTGAGGTGAGGGATGGCTCAGTGGTTGCCAGTACTTATCACTTTTGCAGAGGACCCTGGTTTGGTTCTCAGTGCTCAGATTGGATGGCTCACACCTACTGGAAAATCCAGTTCCAGGGGGATCTGAAGTGCTCTGGCCTCTGTGCAAACCAACATGCAAAACTCTTTAAAGTTAAAAAGAGAGAGAGCAACATGTCTGGAAAATAGTTTATTAATTCATTACAGGGACAGATACATGATCAACGCCTTACTGAAACACTAAAGAATATCATATTTGTAAGGAGGAAGCATGATGCTGGAAAGTGCAATGAAATAAACCAGCACAAACGAAGTACAGGTAAATGAGCAAGCATGTAAGTATCGAGTACACTTGTCATGCTTCAAGAAAAGAAAGATTCTTAAATGAGACTCAAAAGAACTTAAGGCATCGATGGCAAGCGACAAAGGGATTAATACCCTGTAAAAGGCCAATAGACTCTTTCCTAATAAAACCTGCTGCTACAAAGTTGCAAATCTAACACTCTCCAGTTACTCAGAACCCAAATCATATACAATGCTAGTGAGCACTGGCTACTTTCTTATCAACTGTGAGTTATAGGCAGATACCAGATTTATTACTTATTTGCTTTTGAGAAACAATTTTCCACCTAGCCTAATGGGTTATAAATTGTCTCATTTGCAGCTGTTTAATTTAAACCAGAACCTCAGTGCTTGTTAAACAAGAACATGAGGAATGACTACGTGGTGGGATGCTAAGAGCCTACTGTTAAAACGGTTACTTCATTCAAGGCAAGGGGGAAAAAAATCTAACCAGGAAAACAAAATGAGGCTTTTGACCTTCAGAGCAATAAAGAAATATACGGTGGTGTTGGCTGGCCATGGCCACTCTGAATGCTTATAGAAGTAGTTCAAGTGACAATCCCGTCTTTAGCGAGATATGAAACCAGCATTAATAATCTTTAGTGTTATCATAGGCTGGCTGAAGAAGGGAGGAGGAGGAGATATAGGTGGGGTCAAACATGAGTGACACACAAGGCTAATAAACAGAGGATTTCAGGAGCAGCAACTCGGCTGAAAGACGTTTAAAAAAAAAAATGGAAAGATAGACTGGTTATTTCTATTTTGGCCCAGATGCCAGAGTTAACACTTGATGTGCCAGCCGGCTAAAATAGAAAGATGTACAGCAAGAGAACACAGATCCCACATTTGACAATCCTGGAACATGGCTGAGGTGAGACATCATAGAGATGGTATGGCTTCTGTGACTCAGGAAACACCAGTCAGGCTTGGCCCTGTGTGGTAAGGTGATTTCAGGATTCAGTGTAAAGAAAGATAAAACAAAATGAGCCAGCTGCTCCTTTTCCTGTGCAAAGACTTCCTTTAGCATCTTGGAGGAAACTTTTTGCCACCATGAATCCAGTCAGGAGGTTCAAGGCTCCAGGGACAGGGAACTGGGCCATTGCAGCACCAGTAACACCCCTCTCCTCATCCCTTCAGCTTCAGCCAGGACTGCATGTCAAAAGCACATGTCCATTTCTCCGTGCAGATGGGCAGCAGACATTTTTTTTTTCAGCCTCTTGGTTTCAGTCCCTACCCCTTCTCAGGGGTTCCTTGGTGTGGCCTGAATTCATCTCTTCCATAGAAAACCTTCTCATCTCAATACCAAGGAGACGGCAGCCAGGGAAACTAAAAAGTCTTCTCCAGATCTACCTGGAGTGGGTCATCTGCTCAGGAAGGTGGTTGTCAGGGGTGCTGTGGGGACCCAAGGGTCACACTATGGTCTGAAGCAGACATGAGGTAGTCATGTTGTTAGGGAAGGGTGCATAGGTTGAACTCAGGGACGAGAAACGCATGACACAAAGACAAGCATGGGAGACAGAAATGGAAACAGCAGTGAGGAAGCAAGGGGCATCATGGGAAAGAGAAGGGCCCCAGGATAAGGGAGCAAGACTAAAGACATGAGACAGAACACCAGAACAATGAAGGGGCAGAGAGGGACAGGGGGCGAAAGAAGATTTCCCAAACCAGGCACTTCCCAGATTACAAAATTAGGTACAGAGCTGCTTGAAGGAGTGGGAGCTGAGCTGGGTTCACCCAGCCATCTGGACCTTAGGAGGCCAGGAGGGATGACGGCCATGCTGTTGCAGGCTGCAGTGTCATAGGCCTCTGGAGTTGACTAGCACTCCGCTCAGCACAGCTGACACAAGAGGGGCTGGCGCTGTCTTTGTAGACACAGCACTGGAGACACTCTCAGAGTGTAATAAAAGACTAGGTGACAAGGTTAAAGCTCAAAGAGCTGGCACTGATCACTGTGACACCACCCTGCCATGGAAGGTCAATTAGGCCACAGTGACTGCTACATAGGGAGAGGTTTCTCATCTCAACCAGCACACACTCGTGGCTTCACACGTGTCTATTACATGGAACTCTGTCTCAAGTCCCTCCGGTATCACATATGTGATGCAGAATATGGAGGAGAGAGTAAAGTTCTCCCCTACCTCAGCCAAAGGATCCTAAGTGGCTCCAAAGGGCTTGTTGATATCTCTAGTACATACATGTGTAGCCATGTATGCCATGTGCCTGAACCATATCAGACTTCTGCTCAGGGGACCTGAGAAGAGGAGACAGGAGCCCTGGGAAGGCTTGGGCTGGCTGCTAGAGGACACAGTACTTTGGGCTGGCAGCTTTTCCCAGGGGCCTCCTCTACGGCAGTGCTGGGCTCAAGGTCTGGGCAGGAGCAGGAGGCACTGGCTGCTTCTGGCAAGCAGGTGCATCTCTCTGGCCCAGTGGTTGCTGGTTGGCACTCTTCCAGCTCCCTGCCCAGCCAGTCTGCTCCTTGAGACAGATCCACAACCCCAGAGGTGGAAGGCAGAGCCTCTGCAGGCAGGGTTTCCTCAGGCTCCAGGTCTTGGAGATGGAGGTCGGGACATCCTTCGGATGCACTGAAGTCGGAGTGGACAATGACCTCGGCCTCCACCTGATTCCTGCACGCTGGGGATGGCTTCTTTCTCCCGTTGCTCTGGCAGAGTGGAGAACAAATGAGACTGGTCTTCAGAAAAATGATCAACATCTGTGGGGTGGGAGAGGCTGACTCCCCGTTAGACAAGCGCTATTCCACCTGAAACAGTGCTCAGGCTCCAGTAGAGACAAGAAATACAGAATGTCACGTGTTTTCCCTCACGCAAGCTACCAGGAAGTACTAGACACAGGACCTCCATGAAGAGCATGAAGGGCAGACTGTATCTGAGGAGTTAAGGCCACCTTCAGATACTCTGTAAGTCTACTGTGAGCCACTTTTTTCTTGTCACTCACTCCCCTTTGGAAGCTACAAAGTCTTCCAAATACGTTTCTGTCCCTGGAAATGCATAGGGCCCTTTCCCCTCCGGCCTCCCCCTTCCTCTCCCAACACTGACTGACCTTTATGGCATCATACACCAGAGCCTGCAGCAGCAGCGTCTGCCCAGTTCCGGCTGGAGGCAGCAGAGCACGCGTCAGAGCCGGCCTAGGACCACTACCCTGGGGCAGCTCACTGCTTGCCCAGGAGCCTGCCCAGTTCAGCCCCCCTGCCTGAGCCCAGGAGATCTGCAGAGAAGGAAAAAGACAGCATGGGCATGCAGGGTCCAGACCTGTGGGCGGAGTCATAAGCCTAATAACACTTGACGTGCAAAATCTAAAGCTCTCAGGTTTGGCGGACTCTTTCTCATCTCAGAGGAGAGTGGAGAGATGGGAGAGCTGACTTGGTCAGGGTGTGCCACCCCGGGACCTAGCCTACGGGTCTCACCTTATCCTGGGGCCAGCTCTACTTGGCCACAGCAAAAGCGACCAATCTCTTTTCTCCATATTAGGTTAGTGGGTGCTCTAGCAAATACAGCTCTGGGGCCCTCCCAGGCGGGATGGACAGACTTTCTCTAGATGGCTCAGGGCCTAGTGTGCGCCTCACTGTCGGAAATTGTGCTCTGGTGCCCCCTGGTGTTTGATTTGGGTATGGGTCCGTGTGAGCCTCTGACCTACTGAGACTCCAATCTCACCTTTCTCTTGAAGTGGCCTCGGCAATCTGAACCGCCGCCACCCATAAGGCTGTGCACTTCAGCCTTGTCTTCCACATCCGAGGGTGGTGGGGACCAGTCCTGGGGGCGGGGATGCACGAGGGACTCCAGCTCATGGGCAGCAGGGACACTGGGGGGCCCGAGCCGAGCTCTTGAGTAGAGTGCTGGGTTCCCAGAGGTGCCTGTGGAGGGCAGTCCAGGGAGGGCTTCCCTGCAAACGACAGGAACAAAGGTATAGGTTATACCAGAAAGGAAGCAATACAGTCCCCCCAGCCCAACCCCTTGTATGGAGAGGTAGAGCTTTTTCATGTAAGCTTCTATCAGGAAGCTATGAGAAAATCCCACTGGTTGCCTAGCCTGCTCTAACTGAGGTGGGGGACTGGGGTCCCCCTAAGTTTATTCTACATTATCATGAAAACAACACCCCGATCCTACATCTCAAAATCCTAATAAATTGCTCGTTTTATGCTGCTGAGGATGGAGCCCAGGGCCTCACGCGGGGGCAAATGTAGCACCAAGCTCCACTCCACCTCCATAGCCCTAATTATACTGGGGCTTCAGGGGCAGCAGGGAAGCACACATTCCTTTGTCCACTCTGCAGCCCTTCCTGGTAACTCTCTTAGTCTCGGTGGTTCCCTGGTTCACCTGTGGGAGCTTCGTCGTAGGCCAGCACACATGCAGGCCAGGAGGCAGAGAAGGCCCAGGCAGACGCCCACGATGATGCCTGTGACAGAGTGCACATCCAAGGAGTCTGGTGGGGGGGACAAGAGTGCAGGTCAAGGTCAGTAGGGAGCCCTGCTCATAAACCAGAGGTGAGGGCTTCTATAGAACATTGCTAGCTTCAGCCTCCAGTCTCCCCTTCAGGGTGTTCACACTCCTCTCTCTCTCTCTCTCTCTCTCTCTCTCTCTCTCTCTCTCTCTCTCTCTCTCTCTCTCTCTCTCT